GCCTGTTTGTTTATATCCTCCTCTTTTTCTTTCATGTGAACTCTTAGATCTAAAACTGTAGAAAAGACACTTGTCTTCCACTGCACTCACACATATGGGCAAACCCACTAGATTGTCTTTCTTTTTTAAACCTTTGAGGTGTAAGTCATCCTGCGGTAATTATATTTCCCTCTCAAGTGCATCAGATAAATTGTCAGAGCATTCTTAACTGATCCTACAGAGAGACTACAGAAAATTGTCAAGCGTGTCTACAAATCAGCCACTGCTTGAAGGCAGAAGTATGATAAAAGAATAGATAGACAGAGCTTCCATATATCAGTCCGTCTATCCATCACGAGTCTAAAAACATTGGACAGGAATGATGTGGATGGCGGCTGTTTACAGGGAAGTGGAGGACATATTCCCCCTGCCGTCTTGTTTGAGGATGGCTGTAATCCGCCGTAAACCACTCTCGTGCACAAATCCTCTAACACTAGATTAGAGTACACGACCAAAGGCAAAATGAATTAGTGAAAGCAAATAGAGTTAAAACCTTAGTTTAAAAGTTAAAATCTTAAAAGAAATGTCTATTATTTTATTTTTAATAAATTATTATTATTTATTTTTTGAAAGATCCATGGACATTTTATATGCTAACTACCTTTATATATACATTTTTAAGTAAGTCCGAAGGAATAGTAAGCCTTTTTTTTTTTTATCAGTGTCTTATTACAAGTTAAAATGTCTTCCATACAAATGTAATCCCCATAAATATTTCATTTTCTTGTGTGTTCAGAGTTTCTAAGATGTAGTAAAGCCTATTTTTCCTGCAGCCACATGGTGGAGTGCAGTATTTGCAGTCTCTGGCAGTTAAGGCTAATCTATCTGCTGAACTAGCGTGGTTATTAGTCATGCCGTTACTTTCTTTAGGTAAACATGTAGACTGCACCCCAGTGCTGCAGAGCCTTTGAAATCAGACGTCACACTTTATCTTGAGCTGTGTCTGTTTGATCATCTGTTCGCATTCAAATACTGGTGCAGTGACAGTGCTCTGGTTCAGGCTGACATGAATGCTCTTTTAGATCCATAATAAAACATGATGGTGCCTCTTGCGGATAAATGAATATACTTCAAAGCAGAAAACAAAAAAGGTTTCCAGTTTATCCTTCTCACTCATCTGCCCCTCATATATCTGATCAGAATTACAGTAGTAGTGAGTTGTGCCATGCACTCAGCAGTTACTTTCAAATCCTCTAACACTAGATTAGAGTACACGACCAAAGGCATCCGTGGACTTACTTCAAAGTTAAAGTTACTGTGGGAAAGAGTTTGCAAATTCACAGCATGCAAGGAGCCTGCAAATGTTTTAGAAATCAGACATGTTTCAACGATACAAATAGTGCTAATAGTGAATAAATTGGACAGATATAATAAAATTAAACCTGTCCCATGTAGTGTCACAAATTGTAGATGAGCACTTTGGACATTGTAAACTGCATCTGAAACTATTGAAAACAGCATTTTGCTGTTATATATAAGGCTAATCTATCTGCTGAACTAGCGTGGTTATTAGTCATGCCGTTACTTTCTTTAGGTAAACATGTAGACTGCACCCCAGTGCTGCAGAGCCTTTGAAATCAGACGTCACACTTTATCTTGAGCTGTGTCTGTTTGATCATCTGTTCGCATTCAAATACTGGTGCAGTGACAGTGCTCTGGTTCAGGCTGACATGAATGCTCTTTTAGATCCATAATAAAACATGATGGTGCCTCTTGCGGATAAATGAATATACTTCAAAGCAGAAAACAAAAAAGGTTTCCAGTTTATCCTTCTCACTCATCTGCCCCTCATATATCTGATCAGAATTACAGTAGTAGTGAGTTGTGCCATGCACTCAGCAGTTACTTTCAGTACATGCATTCAAACTCTCAGATGTCATGAGATTATAGTATGTAATCAACCAACCTGAGAATAACAGTGGATTTACTTCAGATAAATTTCCTTTATGATGTTGCAAAATTCACCTGTAGATATTTTGGCTTGTTTTTATGTTTGTGTATCCTTTTTCATTTGTTTTGATGACCTTTTGATGAACCCTCTTCTTTTTTTTGATGATGAACCGTTTAGTTTTGGATTTGGATGTTTGAAAATGCTTTGCCCGTGACGCATATTAACTGACCCTAATCTTTAGTAGAGGTCCGCTGGTCATGATATACCCACCAGCACGATGTGAAATCAAGTGCACTTTCATGTTTGAAAATCTTAAAACTACTTTAAGTCTGTTTTTGTCTTAAGGAACTGCTCCAAGAGTGAGATTAAACCCACAGCTAAGAGCTAAAACATATTCAGGCATTGTGAAGTTTTTTCCTCGCCGTCTGCTTGTGCAGGTCTTTATGAATAAAAGATGTGTAATGAAACAGTTCTATAGTGGTATATAGTGCTGCATTGCAGACAACAGCTCTCCAAAAATGGACGTTTGTTTTAAATAAGATCATTGCTTCCTGTGTAAAATGAAAGTCATGTACCAACTTTTGTACCAGTTATAAGACCCTAACAATTTCAATTTCATTCTACTTCATTACACAGTGGGTAGTAACTGATTACATGTAATCAGACTACAGTTCCTTTTTTATTGATTACGTTATTATTCACACAATAGCAATAAATTATTTTTAATTTATTGATTCTCCGTGATTATTATTTTTCATCTTTTAAATTTTCCTTTCTAAAATAGTTTACACATTCAGAAAGCCTTCCAGTTTTGTGGACATTCACACAAAGACCAGTCACTAGTTAGGTGGCAATAACGACCACCTAAATAATTACCATTTTAAGTGTTTATTTTAATTTTACATTTTTATTATTTAATTACGTATTTGCTCATCACGCACGACCCCCTACAGTTATGAATCACAGTTTTGGAAACCTTGACATAATGTAATGTTTAATTCACTTCATGTTGTTAATAACAATGAATGGAGTATATTTTCTTTCTATTTGTATTTTATATCAATATGGTACGAGATCATATCATATATTTAAATCAATGTGAAAAACAAGTAGTGAAATATTTTTTTTTAGTGCTTGCCCAAAAAGTATTTTAGTCTGCAAAACCTTAGCCCTTAGCAAAAGCATGGTCACCGATATGTAACTGTTTGCTGATTAACATGAACAAGGTGAATTATATAAAAGTTTAACTTCTTTTCAAATAAAAAATGAATAAGAGAAACTATGGATGTGAATGTTGACTACCCTTTTTTAGAAACAGCTTTATATACAGTAGGGCTATTGTGAGACTGTTGGCTTATCCATCTATGGGGTAGATGAGGTGAAACCATCCCTGACTTTCACTCTCCAAGTAAAAATGCACTCAAAGCCCTTGTCTGAGAGTTAAACCATTGTAAGCATGTACCCCTAGATCAGTCGTCTAATCCTGGAGCTTTACCTCACGTCACATACCTCTGTGTCCTTCCCCCTCTGAGTTAAAGCTGTCCTCATACTGACTTATGACCAGCCTTAGCCTTTCTGAAACTAACATCATTGAAGCAATTTCTGCTAAAAGCAACAATGCTCAACTTTAAGCAGCTTGTGTATGGATTGTTCATTGCCAAACAAGTAGCTCTTATGAGCAGAGTTCACAGGTCATTTCATTTATCACTCTTGTCCTCAATGGCACTGCTCTCTGGCTTTACCTGCTGAAACAGACAAAATAAAGCACTGTTCCCAATTCATTGACAATTTCTGACATGAGTGAAATTTGTCATTATTAATGAATTTTCATTTCGTGACACAAGTGGTGCAGAAATTACAATTTGGTTTTGCCAAATTGAAGTATTTTTGCATTGTTAGTGTTTGTCCAGTGAGGTAGACAGTGCATGATAAGATTTGATAATATTTTGGTCAGCGCTGTTTAAGCCTACACTGACTCACATTTGACACGCAGTTGACATGCATGTGTACGCATGCATACACTAGCGCTTATATTTTTGTGGATAATCTGGAATAGGTGGGATTTAAACGAGGGATGATCTGGGGTAAAGCACAGATTTGGACTGAACATTCCCACAGATACCGGCTACTGACTAAAGAGAGAGGACTGTCACATGGACTTGGTGACATCATCATGAACATCTTTGTGCCTGTGGGTTATTTCAGGGCTGTTTAAAAATTTTAAATATTGCATGAAACATTAATTGACTAATTAATCAGATCATTCTTTTGCACTCAATCTATATGCCACTGAATTCATGAATGATTCTTGTGAGTATAGTACTTGGGATAGTATTGTCATGTCCAATGGTAGGAAAACCGCATTTGTTATAAGTTAATATGCTAAATTGTTAAGCTAAGTCTTATTTTTCCTAATTATCCTCAGTGATTTCTGTCTCCAGTGGTAATTCTATGATCCAGATGTTTTGTATTAAATCAAAGAATATACATGGTGGCTTATAAAACTGGTTGTTACTACTTGTGTATACTGTGGTAAATAACGTATTTACATGCTATGACATACTTACTATTTATATATGCCATATTGATAAAGTACTCATCACGCACGCTACTTTGAGCCTGCAATCAGTTTTGCACTCATTGCGTCTCTGACATCTCTATGACCTTGTTTGATGGATTAGCCTCATTGGAGGATGAGGGGTACAGCATGTATGCATTGATTTATGCCACATTACATTTTATTGCTCAGAAACGCTTAAACATCTGATTCAGGATCAGCAGTTTCCCTCAGTAGTTGATTGTTTATTCAACTATTGGCATTTTTGACCCTGTTGACAAGCATTCAGTGGTGGAAATGACATTTATACAGTTTTGGGATAATTTGATAGACTCCTTTGTCCAGCTAAGGTTAATGTCATAGCTGACATTTCATGTATCTTAAATAAAAATCTTAAATCTTCTTTGTTATTTCACTCTTTAAAACTGTAAAATCTGTGCATTTGTAATATAGCAAAAAGACTTTAAAGATTCCAAGGCTGTCTCAATATGAAACTTTTGTCTTGTGTTTTAGGTGTGCGAACCAAACAAGAGGAAAATTTACGTGTGTTTCTGCTGGTATGTGGACTCAGACGAGTTAAGGATCCTCTGTATCTTCTAGAAGTTTTTGCAGGTATAACTGTTCTATAAGATCAGAGTTCATCCTCAGTCATTGTGCAACTAGAAACTGCGACAGTTAGTCTTTAAATACTAATTTAATTATAAAAACATAATTAGAATAATTATGTGTGTTAAATGAAATTTGATCCTTTCTCTTACAGAATGGCACAGTCAGAACCCCCTAGTGGTCCTCATCATCATTGGTCCAAAGGTAAGCAAGAAATAGTGTCTAGTTTAGGACAACAACTAGAGGTTACAGGCTAGATCCGGCCTGTCAGTTTTTTTTTTTTTGTTTTTTTTACACAAACCTTTGATTTTCATTCAGTTCCTGCCCTTCAGCTACACATATTCAAATGTGTCTTATAAAATTAAATTTTATTTATTTTAGTGGTCGACCATGATCTGTCTATCTATCTATCTATCTATCTTATCTATCCATCCCATGGACTTTGTGTTTTCATTCCTCGTGTTCCCTTGACCTAGTTTCTGTCTCCCCATGATTATGTCATTATGTTCAGGTGTGTCTCGTTTATTATCCATGTCATATCCATTTATTATCATTTATTGTCCATGTACTTAAGTTCCCCTTTGGCTCATGTTTACTGCCGGTTATTGTTAAATGTTACCCTGTGTGTGGAACCTTCCTTATTCTTGTGGATTTATTAAATATCAGTGTTGATTATCTTCTTCGTCGTGCGCTACTCATCTTTCGGTGAGAGGTCGTGATTGAACATGCTGTGTATATTGAACTGTCTGTCTGCCTGGAATTATCTATCTGCCCTGAATCGTCTGTCGGACCTGAAACATTTATGGAGGTCGTTACCCTGTACATGATGCTCCCAGTGCTGGGAATTGCCATCTGGTGTGTGTGGGCAGAGCACACCGTCCCAGAAACCCCTGCGCCTCATCCCTCCGTCCCTCTGGCTCTGTCAGGCTCCTCCCTCCCTCCGGCTCCACTTTGGTCCTCTGTCGCTCTGGCTCCACCACGGCCTTCCGGATCTATTCCTTCGCCTTGGTCGCCGGAGCCATCTGCTCCACCTTGGCCCTCCGGATCCTCCCCATCACCCTGGCTCATCGGCTCTCCGTCTCCGCCTCGGGCTCCACCTCCACCTGCTCCACCGCCGTCGGTCGGCCCCATGGAGTCGACAGCCCTTACTCAACCATGGCTCCTCCCTCTGTCGGCACCACTGTGGGCCGCCATCCTGGCTGGGGTCTGGGTCCCGCCTGGCTCCTCCTGCTCCCTCCTGTCTTCTCCTTGGCTCCTCCCTCGATCTGATCCGCCTTGGCTCCTCCTGCTCCCTCCTGTCTTTTCCCTGGCTCCTCCCTCCGTTTGATCTGCCTTGGCTCCTTCTGTCTCCGTCCTGGCTCCTCCCTCCATCGTCTCCTCCCTGGACTCTGTCTGCTGTCCTCTTCCCGGGAGTCCGTCCTCCGCCCGAACCTCCACCTGGTCATCTGCCTACCTTCCTGCCAGCCCTTTGCCGTCCCCTGTTATCATCCCTTCTCCTCTCCTTGTGTCCTCCTCCTATGTCCCCCTCCGTTCCTCCCTTTGTGTCTGCGGCGCGAGGTCGCGCCTTCCAGGAGGGGGGCAAACTGTCACACCCATGGACTTTGTGTTTTCATTCCTTGTGTTCCCTTGACCTAGTTTCTGTCTCCCCTTGATTATGTCATTATGTTCAGGTGTGTTTCGTTTATTATCCTCATTTGTCCATGTACTTAAGTTCCCCTTTGTCTTCCGTTTGCTGCCGGTTATTGTTGAATGTTACCCTGTGTGTGTGGAACCTTCCTTGTTCTTGTGGATTTATTAACCCTTAAATGCATGAATGTTTCGCCAATCGTTATTACATATTCGGGTCTTTAGCGACCTGGAACTATATATTCAACATGGATGGATCTCAGCAATGATAACTGCTGCAATAGCAAAACAACTCTCTTGATATTTTAAGAACAATTACAGAAGAATAAAATAAAGCATATTTCATTACCTTTTGAAACTTAGAAGGGTTCAGTTTGAGCAGATGATTTTACCATTGCTATCATCGTCAGAGTGCACTGCCACAGTATATTCAGCATCTGGCTCATATTCACAATCTGAACCATATTCTCAAAACTACCGTTTTCAATGACTTCATATTCAATATTTTGATCACTGGCAGCTTATTCACCACACCCACCATCAAATGACAGTGACATTTATATTTCATTGTGTACAGTAATTGCTTTGCAGTAAAGCCATTCAAACCAGTTCAATTTTTGTATTCTTTTGTTTTATGCCTGCGGATGTGAAGCGAAACATCACATCATCATTGTGTATCAAACAGTGCCACCTCGAGGAATAAAGATGTATTGCACATATTGAGTCATCAGATATGTAAATATAGTTGCGCAAAAAAATATACATTTACATACCTTGGGTCTCTAGCAACCCTATACGCTTTTTACAAAAAATGAATCAAAAAACAGGCATTCTTTTATATTTCATTATTTTTTTCTTGTTATATTGTTTATAATGAATAGATTGAGGAATACTAAGAAAGTTTATGTCAAACTTTAAAAAATGAAGGAGGGAGAGGGTAGTAAATGATGTCATTAGTGTGGATTATCTTCTTCGTTGTGCACAACTCATCTTTGCACTACACAGCAGCGTGACATCTCTCTATCTATCTATCTATCTATCTATTATTACCCTAATAGATTATTACCTATTACCTTAGTTTTTAGAAAATATGATTTCAGACTTCCCAGCTTATTGCATGCACTGTTGGTTACAGTGTTTACTTCTGTTTTATTGATGTTTTTATCTATTTGTTTTCTATTTTATTTTATTTTTAATTTTTTTGTGAATGATAACTATAATAGGATTATAGAGTCTAAAAGTTGCTATCTAAAATACAAATCTGTTTTACAGATTTATTTGTTGTGAATTTTTTATGAAGTTCAATTTTTTCATATTTTTCATATTTGCACTGTTCAGTTATGTGTAAAGCTACTCTGCTTTGAAAACATGTAATTACATAAATAGTCAAGTCAACTTTATTTATATACCACTTTGTACAATACAGATTGTTTCAAAGCAGCTTTACAGCATTAAACGGGTAAATACAGTAAAGTGTCAATAATGCAAACAAAATTCAATTCTGCTGTAAAGTAGCTCTAAAAAGAGGACAATAGTTAACAGTGATTTTTTTAAATTAAAGTCAGTAAAATTTTTCAGTTCATCGTTAATTCAATTATGTCATCATCCAGCTCAGTTCAGTTCACTTACAATAGTGTCCAAAAACATAGTTAAGTCAATAGAATTATTTTTTTAGTTTTGTGTCCCGCTGAAAAGTGTACAATGTTGGAAATTCCCTAGATAATCTATTCCTCGAAAGAAAGTAGTTGACAAGCCCTGGTCTAATTATTCCATTTAACACCCATTCCTGTTGCCGTCACCACAGGTAAAGCCGTGAAACTGTTCTACATGTGTTGTATATCCTCTCATGTCTCGTTATCTCCAAAAGCCCATAACACATCCTAACATCCTTTTCAAAGAAGCTGTGTCAGTGTTGGCGCATGTGGGCAGCGTGTTTCTGTAGATTCCAAAGTAGCACTAATTGGATGTAGCAAAGATAATAACATTAGCATGCATTAAACTGGACTTATCAGAGGCATTTAGAGGCTCACTCAAGCTAGAGCAGTGGAATCATGCAGAGGATTGGGGCTGCGGGGGACTAGCATAAGCTGTGGACTGTTCGTAGACCTGCTGTGCTATATGATGCTAGGGGAGGCTTGTTAGCTGCTACGAGCTAATGGCTAGCCTGTGGCAGGCCATCTGCCACTCCAGATTATGTGCCAAGCCTAGGTGCTGCCATTCTGCCAACCCCATAGAGAGGTCACCCTCCATCTCTGGACAGAATCTAGTCACAGACATAGTCAAATATTTTTAGAAATAAATAGATTTAAAAGACTGAAAAAAGTGAGGAGGAAACAAACAAGCCCAAGGCAAAAAAAAAAGTTTCTGTCCCTAAGTGTGTCTGGGGAAAAGGTTAGAAGAGAAACAGGAACTGAGCGAGTCAACACAAGACCTCAAGCCCATATTGCTTCCTATTTCAACCATGAAAGATTTACTGTAGAGGTTTGACTGCACATGTTCTGCTTCATTTGGGATCAAGCGCCAGTGGTGTTTTCATTCCATCTTTTTTTTTTTTATTCTTTTCTGGGTGGGTGTCAGTTGCAGCCCATGGAAACCATATGGTAAAAAGTTGTGAAATTTGGCACACTGATTATTCTGGGTCTAATGGTGTGTTTAAGTCCTCCTGGGAAGTTTGTATTGACAAGTTAGGAAGTCTTAAAGGGTTAGTTCACCCAAAAATGACAATTAGCCCATAAATTACTCGCCCTCAAGTCATAGGTGTATATGACTTTCTTCTTTCAGACGAATCCAGTCGGAGTTATATTAAAAATTGTCTTTGATCTTTCAAGCTGTTTAATGCCGCTCAGAGGGTGTTGCATGCATCAATCTATGATGGGTCAGATGGGTTCAAATCACTTTGGTCGAAGCAAGATGGCAATTTTTAAAGTTAGCTTGACATGAAAATTCACCCTGTTTTCATGTTTTCAGATCTTATTGTGAACAATTCATCCATGCATATGTTTCTTTCTTTTTTTAAAGGGGTCATCAGATGCCCATTTTCCACAAGTTGATATGATTCTTTAAGGTCTTAATGAAAAGTCTATAAAATACTTTGCTTGAAATTTTTCAATGGTAGTGTAAAACAACACCCTTTTTACCTTGTCAAAAACAGCTCTGTTCACAGCGACCCGTTTCGGTGCATGTCCCTTTAAATGCTAATGAGCTCTGCTCACCCCGCCCCTCTCTTCCGTGGGGTGACGAGCAGTTCTCTAGACTGTTAACCTTAGCCGCATTCGTCGCCGAACTTGCTTACTAGCACATTATTAGGAAAGGCGATTTGCAAAGATTCATAAAAAACTTATATTCACTTCTTCTGTAGGTGAAGCTGGATCACGAATTATTCGAGTGAACATAGATGCATTTAGGTAGATGGGGGGCGCATTCCCTTCAAAAGCAAAAGTAATCCTCTGCGTCTTCAGTGGAGTAAATGACGACTGCTACGTTCATTATTATATCCAACAACAAAACCCCTCAATCGCTTAAGAGACATTCTTGTCTACACCTGCTCCGGCGTCGAAACAATGGCGGACTGTTTACAG